CCTCAGCTGTTTTCAGGCCGTCTCCATATTCCCGTGTTAGACCCCACTCCAGGAACCAGTGCCCTGGACCCCCAAGCCATGTCTCTAGCCCCTGGAGCGACACTTGGAAAAAGAAATTAACACTCCTGTGGCCAGGATGCAGCTCAGTTGGCAGGAGCCTTATCTGGGGTGTCAGAAGCCCTGGGCTGGATCCCCAGCACCTCATAAACTGGGTACAAGGGGCACACGCTTATGATCCCACCTGGGAGGTGGAGGCAGGAGGATTAGGGGCAAGTTTTATGCCAGGCTTAGCTATAGAAGAATTCCCCCCCCCCACCCAGGTTAGAGCTAAACCGGAGTCTGAATCGTTAGAACCCACGTGAAAAGCTGTGCAGGTACCTGAAGCCCCAGCGCTTTAGGGAGTGGAGACAGGAGGGTCACCGGAGCTCGCTGGCTGCCAGCCCAGCTCCAGATTCAGTGAAGAATCCCATCTCAAGGGAATAAGGCAGAGAGCGCTAGAGTAGGACACCCAACATCCTCTTGTGGCCTCTGAGCATGGGCACACAGTATGCAGAAACTACATAGACACACACACACAAACTCAAAGTAAAAATGCTAAAATCACATTTAATTTGGGGCAGAGACCTAAGGATAGAACTAGCTTAATTAGGAACACAACACGGACTAAGCGGCCAAGGAGCTGGGGGCGGGGCAGGTGTCCACAGATGGGGCAGACTAAGAACAGGGGATCTGGCTAAACAGACGGAGGCTGGTCTTGTGGAGGCAGGCCGGCTGACAAGCTATCAATCCCTTAGGGGTGGTGGGAGGGCTCCATCAGATACTGAGGGTGGGGCTTCTGGATAAACTGACTGGACCAGATTTTTGCTACAGCCGAGGTGTGCAATGAGGGCGCAGAGGTACAGACTTTGAGACAGAGTTGAGGAGTCTCAGGGGCCCCTTGGGCATTTCTCTGTCATCAGGCAAGATGCCACACCCCTGTCTGTCCTGCTTCTTGGCAGGGACCTGGAATTGGTCCAACGCTGCTGTCTGTTGGGCCCTCTGATCACCTTTGTACCCAGCGAGAGAAGCGCCGCCCCCCTTCCTTCAGACTGCCCTGAGCATTCCCAGCCTCAGCGACTGCACCCTCAGCACACCTGGCTGCTGTTCTCAGCTGGGATGTCACAGTGGAGCTGGTTACCTGAGGGGGGGGGGGCAGCAGGGGACAGATGTGGATGGGGACGACAGGACAGGAAGTGGGGCTTCGTCCAAAGGGAAGATGGTCCGTTTCTCACGCTGGTGTCAACCGACCACACCGCAGACCTGGGACATTTGGGGTTCTAAGGGTGGGGGAGGGTCTGTTTCCTGTTGAATAGCTTCCATCTTCAGAGCATGTTGCTTTTCCCTCCAGGTTGACTCAACTGCTCTGGTGTGTGTGTGTGTCTGTGTGTGTGTACCCACAGGTGCACTTGTGTACATGGATACATGACCACGTGGAGTCCAGAATCTGCTGTTGTTTTTCTTGATCTTTCTCCACCATAGTCTTTGAGGCAGGGTAGCTCGCTGAACTTGCAGTTCACTCACTCAGCTGGACTGGCTGGCCACTGAGCTCCAGCAATCCTGTCTTCCTCCTCCTTTCCTACTGTCAGACAGGGTCTCTTATTCAGTCTAGGGTTCATTCGTTTGTCTAGACTGGCTGCCGGCAGACGCCAGGCATCCTCTCGTCTTCACTTCCCCAGTGTTGGAATTACGCGCAGTGCCACCACACCTGACTTCTCTGTGGGCGCTGGGGATCGAACCCAGACCCTCATGCCTGCATGCCTTTGTCTGCCTGGCCTGTGCACCACCTCAACAGCTTTTGCCTCTCTTCCTGCTGCTCCCCAGGACTCCCATATCACACCCCCACCAGCTTGGCAAACCGTGACCTTCCTGCTGTCCACTACGTTGGGGCTCCCTGAATCACCCAAGCTCCTCCCTCAGGCTGTCACCCAGGGCCTACTGTGTCCCGGTCTCTGGCCGCCTGTCAGGCTGGAGTGAAGTACTGACTACCTGTGCCAGGGAGGCCTAGGGACCTACTTGACTTGTCTTTCTCTCAGCTCTTTGCACGGGTTCTTTGAGCTGGGGTGGGGGACATGCTTCACAGTCACAACTTTTGGATTTTCTTGATTCCCTGAGGTGTGCTGTGCCTTCATTGCTTTGTGACAAGCCGAGCCCCTCCCCCAACACCCTGTGTCTGATGGTGACACTGTGCAGAAGCTTAAGCTCAGAAATAAGAGTCAGGCTCTCTCACCGGGACCTGAGTGTGAACCAATTCGGCTGGGCTGGCTGACCACTGAGGCCCAGGGTCCTTCTTGCTCTGCTTCTCTGACACAAGGTGGACAAGCATGTGTCATTTTACCTTGGGGTTCAGGATGAAAGTCAGGTCCTCATGCTTGGCATGGCAAAGCCCTTTACCTACCAAGCCATCTCCCCAACCCCACTGCTTTTCTTGCTTCTGCTCTTTTGGGGTGCACTGGCCTGGGCAGGCATCGGCCCCAGGCAGGCTGCCAATCCCCTCCCTCCTGTAGCTCTGTTTGCATCTGGACCAGTCCATGATAGGGGTGTGCTGGATCTCCTTCTCTCTCAGAAATCCATCATCTGCTTCTGGTTTCCCACAGCATGAGGCTGGCTCCTCCTCCCTTCCCTGGATTCTAGCCTGGAAGGTATCCTTCAGGGAGGCAGGTGGCTGGCAAGCCGTGGGCCTAGCTACATCCCAGCTCGTGTCAAAAGCGGCACCAGGCAGGGAGGAGGAAGCACATCTGGAATCCCAGCTAGTGGGAGCGGGAGGATCGCAAGGTCAAGGCATCTTGGGCTACATAGTGAGACTAGCCACTCGGGCTACTTTTTCTCCTGCTGTAATAAATCACTCTAGGCAAAAGCATCTTACAGAGGAAGGGTTTGTTTGGGCCGGCAAGTTACCATCCATCTTCACGGAAAGCCAAGGCAGAAGCTCGAGGCAGGAACTGAAGTAGAAACGGAGGAGGAAAACGGCTTACCTTGCCCAGCTACCTTTTCTACACAGTTCAGGCCCTTCTGCCAGAGGTGGCTCCGCCCATAGTGGGCTGGGCCCTCCCACATCAACTGGCAATCAAAAAAAATGCAGAGACATGCCCACAGGCCAATCTGATGGAGGATGCCTCACTAGAGTCTGTGCCATGCTGTTTGAACTTTCGGTCTCCAAAACTGTGAATTAAATACACCTGTTTTCCTTACTCCTTTTCCCCTCCAAAAAAGTGGCTTCAAATTACACCCGGCCGCTGTAGGGAATACTGACGTCTTATCTATTGTTTTGCCTTTGAAGGAGCTGGGATGAAATCAGAAGCCTTGAGCAGGCTGGCTAAGCATTCTCCCACCGGATCACACCCCAGCTCCTCACTAGTGTTTCCATTGACTCACCTTCTTGGCTCCTCACTGCTGTGAATTCTGGGTAGTCAGCCCGCTACCCAGCCATAACTTCAGCCCCTCACCGTGGGATTTTAGTCAGGCCCAGTACTGCTAAGCCACCTCCTAGCTTTTAATATTTTTAGAGATTGGTCTTATTAAGTTGCTCAGGCTGGCTTTGAACTAATGAGCCTCTAGGGTAGCTAGGACTTCAGGCTTGCACACTGTGTTTGGCTGCATGATTTTGTTGTTGTTTGTTTGTTTGCTTCTTGAGACAGGGTTTTTCTGTGTTGCCTTGGCGATCCTGGACCAGGATCCTGTAGACCAGGCTGGCCTTGAACTCTCAAGAGATCTGCCTGCTTCGGCCTCCCTGAATGCTGGGATTATGGGCATGCGCCACCACGCCGGGCTGGCTGTATGATTCTTATAACACATGACCCCCATTTGAAGATCTGTTTTCCTCCCCCTACCTCCCGACCACATGACAACAGGGCCTGCGAACATAGGGTGAGCAGGGCATGGAACATGGCAGGAATATACACCCATCACCGGCGTTTGGTTTCTCACAGGGTAAGATTGAGAGAGAAGTAGCTTCCTTCTATGTGTGCCTGACTGTGTGTGGACAGGAGAGGAGTGAGTTTTGGTTCCTCAAGAACCCACAGGTAGAGGCAGCCAGAGAGAGGCAGGGGTCAGGGCTGGCCTCGGACGGATAAGCCTCACGAATCCTAAGCATCCAGGCTAGAGCTTCACAAAGATGTCTCAGTGTTGGGAGGTGAGGGCAAAGAGAGGTGAGGGCAGAGGGTCTTCTGCTCCAGGGTTGGTCCCTAGAGGTACCTGGGGCATTCAGCTCCAAACATCGGTGGCCAGCAGGCTCAGGGTCCAGGGACTGCGGAGTATAGCTGGCCTCTGTGGGGCTGCAGAGCAGCCATGAATGTATCATTGGACTGTCAAGGTTCAACCTGTCTGAGGCCATTCAGTGCAAGGCTGCTTTCCAATCCGCATGCCAGGCCTGGGGACGACAGGTTAGGGAGGTGAAGAACACGAGTCCGGTCTGGCCTCAAATTCCAACGCTTCGTGCACTAGGCTGCGACAGTCCACAGGATCCCCTCATGCCTTGAACAGAGTGCCCTCTGTCTGCCACACCCTTGTCAGCGCGTCCCTGCACACAGAAGACAGTGTGGTGGGTCATCGAAAAGGCATCAACCTCCCGGCCACCTGTCCGCTGCAGGGTCAGACACGCGCTGCCTGGACATCCACAGGGGGACCACCACCCTTCTCCACCATCGTGAGATCCGGGAAGGGCCCGGTGGACAGGAGGACGGCTTCCGCACGCGTCCTGGCACTCGCGCCCCTGGACCCAGGCTGTCGTCTGGAGGATGTTCGCTGCGGTTGGCTGTCTCGCAAGGGTGGGCAGGGGTCTCTTGAGGCTTAGAGGGGCAGGTAGTCCGGGAACGCCCACTGTGAATAGCCACGAGCATCTTCCACGCACGTGGGGGTGCAGCAAAGCGGAACCCGTCTGCACCCAGAGCCCCGCTTCGCCCATGACCGGAAGTGCCCCCTTGTGGGCGCGGACAAGGCGGGGCCGGCGGGCGGCACTTCCGGTGCCCATGCGCCACCGCCTCCTCCGCCGTCGCGCAGCTCGCGGCCGTCACTTTGTGTAGTGCGGGGGGGGTCCCCGGTGGTCACAGCCCCCCCCACGAGTCCGTGTCTCGCTGCGGCTCGGCCGGGCCCGGGCGCGCGCGCGGTGAGTGGGGCGCGCGGACGCGGCAGGTGCGCGCGGGCGGGACGCGCTCGCTGGGGGCGGTGGCGGCGGCAAGGCTGCCGGTCCTGGATGCCCGGGCGCTGGAGGCCTCGGGTGGCCGTGGGGCGATCTCGGGGCTCCCGGGCGGGTCCGTGGTGGGGTCGGAGCTGCAGCTGCACGAGCTGGATTTTCCAGGCCCCTTGATCACCCTCCCACCTGATACCGGCCTGGGCCTGCGCGGCACGTCCCCCTAGAGGGGCAGGGACTCTAGCGTGGGAGGGGGCGGGCCTGCGACGACAAGCACGGCACCTCTGGAAGGTGCCAGCGCCGCCCCCTCCAGCTTAGGGGCGGGACCTGGGCCGGGGCTGCCCCCACCCCCGGAGAGACACCTTCCAAAGAAGGGTGTCACCACTCCTGCCCAACCGTGAGATGGATGCTAGGTAAACCCCCTAGAAGGAGGGAGAGGAGAGAAACACCTTGTCCTGGCGCCCTGTAGCCGGCTTTGTGACATTGGGGGCCTTGGCCCAGCCTGTCTGATTTGTAAATGGAAGTTGATGGGCTGCTCTCTGCCAAGTCTGTTGCCCCCGAGGTGGGTGGCGGAACTCATGCCTAGGGTTGGCGGAATCTAAGGTGCATCGTGTGGACACAAGGAGGGAAGGAGGAGGTGCAGGTACGAGCGAGGTTCAGCCCACTCGCTCAGCCTGGGTGGACGGCATTGCCACTTTGTTTTGGTTAAGTAGCTACGGTGTTGGGGGGCTAGCTGGCCTGGTTGAGGAGCCTCATAAGGGGGATCGAATGACCTCCAGGAGCAACCCTGGAGAGGAGGGGCTCCGGAAACTTGGCAGATGGTGTGGATTGTAGTTAACAGGGAAAGACGTTCTGGATAAAAAGTCCTGAAGTCAGTGGGGGCTGCTGAGCAGGAATGAAAGTGACTAGATACTAGCGTGCATGCATGTACATGCACACACACAAACATGCTCCTTCACGTGGCTTCCCCTGGATTTGAGACTTGTCAGGCGTTCCTAACTTTTCAAACTTTACCACTCTTGTCTTTGCACACTCCCTGCTTATGGTCAGTGCCCCGTCCATTCTGAATGTCTGCAGCGCTGCGCCCTGAGGCTCTGGACTTTAACGGAAACACAGGTTGAAGTGACCTAGGGGTTCTGGCCGGCGAAGCCATGAACTTGACTCTTGCTCTCTAATCTAGGAAGGGAGGTCAGGGAGAAGCCACCAGAGAGGCTTTCTGAGGACTGATTGGCCGAAGTTGGGGTGAAACTATCGGAGGCGGGAGCTCCCAGGGCCCTGACAGACCTACCCCCGGTCAGACTGGTTTTCAGAACTTTTGCGCCGAATCCTGGGTCAGGGCACCGGGAGCGTCACGAGGTTCTTGGCTTCTGCCCTGTCCTCCCATGGACTGTTGACCTTAGAGGCTTTTAATGGCTTTTTTTTTTTTTTTTTTTTTTTTTCCCTCCTTGCTCTGCCCTGACAATAGGCAAGTTAAGGGAGGAAGTGTTTGTTTTGGCTCACAGTTTAAAGGTAGAGACCATCCCGGGGGGAGAGACGTGGGCCACTGCTTGAGGCGGCTGCTCGCTTTGTGTCTGCAGTCAGGAAGCAGAGAGAGAGGCATGCTGGTGCTCAGCTTGTAGCTCTTTTTATGCCAGTCCATGGGGTGATATCATTCGGAGCGGATCCTCCCCTCTCGGTTAACCTAGCAAACCCCTCCCGGCCAGCCCAGAGACAGCTCTCTTCTGGGATTCCAGATCCTGTCAGGTGTGCAGCAGTAACCATCACGGGGCTGGTCCAAGGACTCCCATTTGTTGTTGTTTTGTTTTGAGACAGGGTTTCTCTGTGTAGCCCTGGACTGGCCTCAAACTCACTGAGCTCCGCCTGCCTCTGCGCTGGGATTACAGCGTGCGCTCCTGCTCCTGGCACAGGGACTTGACTTTATCCGCTGTCCTCTTTGGGTACAGAGTCTCCCCATTGCTTCTGGGCCAGGTTTTGGTTTGAGGTTCCCTTTCTCCAGTCTGTGGTTGGCCTGTTGTGGAGATTGACAGTTGGGCCCTGACACTGATGTAAAAAACAAAAACGTTAGCTATAGATCTTTGGGCTATGTCTTCAGTAAGTACTGGAGCGACTGCTGTGTCAGGGGGAAGAAAGTGGGACTCTTCCTCATCCCTCAGTCGAATATTCTTCAGTCAAGAAAATGTGGGCGCTGCCTGGGAAGAGACACAGCCAGGGCGGGCTGCCTCCTCTTTGCATACAGTGTAGCCACACAGGTCGTGTGCTCACAGGTACATATACTCAAGTGTGTGCGTGGATGACAGGTCAGCGTCAGCTGTCTTCCGTAGTCACTCTCCCCTGTATTATCTGAGGCAGTGTCTCTCTGACCCCAGGGCTTCAGACCACCTGCCAGCACTGCCCAGGGCTGGATTTACGGTCAGACAGCTCTCCCGCTCTCCCCCACCCCCACAGCTGCTGGAGGACTGAACTCAGAATTACCTCCCAGCCACAGCTTTCTTCTTTCCTTGGGTCCTTACAGATGAAAGTCTGGTGGGTCCTTACAGTTAAAGTCTGGCCCAGGGGAGCCTGAAGTTGCTGCCCAAGGTGGTAGGCAGGCAGTTTGTTCTGTGGGTGTCTGTGCTGAGCGTGAATCTACAGCCTAAGGCCTGAGTAAGCAGCGTCCTTCTCTAGGTCTGAGGTGGCTGGTGCTTGGGACTCCCCCCTCCCCCGTGCCCCCGAGTGCTGGCCGGGACAGCATAAGGCACACGTGTGCGTACCCTTCAGGCATCTTCCAACACCAAAGAGCCCTGGAGGCCTCGGGTGCTTCTCTTGGGCCTAGCTTTGTAGCTTTGATCTTTGAGACGGGTGCTTCTGAGTCTAGCTTGAGACAGTCACAACGAGGGCACTTCCAGACGTCAGGAGTCCCAGCCCGTGGATATGGAGGGGTTGGCGCTGACAGGGATGCCAGGGAGTTCCAGCTGCTAAACTATGGGGTTTGTTTAGTTTTGTTTTGATCGCTCACTTCCGTTTACTTTCTTAGTGTGTGGAGCACGTCTGAGATTCCACGTGCACAGGTGTGTATAGGCATGTGTGGAGGCCTGAAGTCGGTGCTGGGTGTCTTAAATCGCTGGCCACCTTGTTTGTTTATTTGTTTGTTTGTTTGTTTTTCCCTTTTCCTTTTGTTTTTGAGCCAGGGTCTATCACTGAACCTGGAACTCACTGAGTTGGCCACATTGCCTGGCCAGCAAGTCCCATGAAACCTCCTGTCTCTGCCTTCACAGTACTGGGATTACTGGCATGCACCTCCAGTCCAGTTTTTACTTTCTGGGGAACGAACTCAGGTCTTCATGTGTGTGAAGGGAGCCCGTTACTGACTGAGCCACCTCCCCAGTACCAAAACCTAGATTTATTGTAAAAAAATGTACGTGTAAGTGTTCCGTCTCCATGTATGTCTGTGGAGTACTTGCATGCCTGGTGCCCACAGAGGGCCCAAAAGGAAATGGATTTCCTGAAACTGGAGTTACAGGTGGCTGTGAGCTGCCATGTGGGATCTGGGGATTGAACCCGGGTCCTCTAACCACTAGCCAGTGCCCCTAACTGCTGAGCCATTTCTCCGGCCCCCAGAGCGTAGGTTTTAAAGATGTCTGAACAGAGAGGGGAAGGGACACAGGTGAGCCAGCCTGAACAGGCTGCTCATGTGTGTCCGTGGGAATATTGGTCACAACAGCCCGACTGTTCTCATAGCCCTGGGCGTCTTTACCTGCCACAGTCTGGTTTTTAAGCATCCTGAGGCAATACTGTCCACTAAGGTGGCTCCAGTGTCTTGGTGTGGCCTGGCCTTTCAGGACCTTTTTGGAACTCAGCATGCTGGGGCGGGGGTGGCCTGCTTCGCCTTGAAATATAGTCTTCAGATCTGAGACACCAGGGCGGGTACTGGGGGATAGGATGGTGACGAGCCATAGGAATGAAGTCGTGAAAACCACAGTGGGCCCGGGAACATGACCTGAGCTTGGTCCCTGAGGCCCTTGGGGTGGAAGGGGAGAACTGACCCCTGCAAGTCCCCGAATCTCTGCGTTTGCCATGACAGGCACCCCCACTCCACAACTAAAAAATCACATACTAACAACACAGAACTGCCCGTCCTGGAGATTTACTGGGCTGGTTCTTTGTAGACACGGGACAGATTAGTGGCTGTAGGGCCCCTCCTCCTACCCCTTCAGCCTGTGGCTCTAGGATCTAGGCCAGGTGTAACTGGACTGAGTCTGTGATGTCATTGGGGGGAGCATGACCCTGTGACCCTCCGAGGCGTTGACATTTCATCCATTCATCATCTCTGATCCTTGACTTGAAGCAGTGTCACCCTGCATGTCCCCTGTGAGCCAGACTCCATCTCCATGACTAGCTGAGATTTACACAGCACCCCTGGAGGTGGGGAAGGATTGGCAGCAGTGTGATACGTGTTCATGGCCCTCCCTGTCTCTCCCTTGGCGCACAGGAAAGGAGCCTGAGAGTGTGCTGGCTAATGGGTGCTCTCCGCTCCCCTCCGCCCCCGCCACTCCCAAGAGGCGAAGCAAGGTGCTCTCCCAGCCCTGCAACCTTCCAAGCTGCGTAGCTGCCAGTGGTCTGCCAGTCCTTGGGCCTGCCCTGGTTCATGTGCGCTGACGGCCGGGTAAGCTGCTTCTCTTCGCTGTCTGTGTGGGACAGGCTGCCCCTGGTAGGTGACACTCACCCATCAGTAAACTTGGACCCCTGGGGCTCTGTTGGCTGCACTCTGTGCTCCTGCGGGTCCTTGAGGGTAGACTGGGTTGAGAAAATGGGTGACTCACCCAGGAATAGGTTACGGCTCACACTAGACACATGGCTGCTGGTGAGACAGAACAGAAGCCATGTCCCAGAGGCTGGTGGGGAGGGGCCTTCTAGGTGGTCTTAATGGGCGTACCCTGTCCAGTCACAGAGCCTGAGCTGGCAAAACTCAGTCCCTGCCTCAGCCCTTGTGGCCTCTCCTGCAAAGTGCCTTTGTGTTTCAGGCCCCACGGAGGCTCTCCCGGGACAATGGCCGCCCTTCACCGCACTCCAGACTCCCCTGCTACCCAGCTGGAGCCTGTGGAAGATGGGTCAGAATGTGATGCTGACCCTGAGGAGGAGGAGGAGGAGGAGAAGGGGCGAGAGGAGATGGAGGGGGAAGAAGAGCAGGAAGTGATAGGAGAGGAAGTGACCACACACGTTCAGGAGAAGGTGGCAGAGATGGCGGTGGAGGCCAACTCAGAGGACAGCGGTGATGATGACGGTGACGATGTGGAGGAGGTGCTGGCCGAGGAGCAGACTCTGAGCGCAGGGACCCAGGAGCGGCTCAGCAGTGGTGCTGATGCCGGGTCACCAGTTCTTCAAGGGAAAGGTAAGCACTGGGACTCCGCCGCTGCCGGGGGTGGGGTCCGTGGGAGGCTTCGGTCTGATGAGTGGGCGCAGCCTGGAGCCCCGCCCTGCCGGCCAGCCTGATACCTGTCACTAAGCCGTCTCCCTCTCAGCCCTGCAGGCCTCCCGGGTGGCTCCCACAACTCAGGATGAGGATCTTGAGGAAGAAGAGGAGGAAGATGAGGAGCATTTCCTGACCCAGGTGAGCCACCCTCCGAAGATGCTGCCCAGGGCGGTGCTCAACCTTTCCCCAGTGTCCTCACACCCGAGGTCTGGAGCCTTCTGTGGGTGGTGGCTCTTGACTGAGGACAAGGCTCCAGGTTCCAGGCCCAGGGTTTTGTGGTTCTGTTTTTCCCAGGTCCCTGTGCCTTCCCAGGCCATTCTGTTGTCCTGAGCACTCTGGCTGCCCCCACCCCACCCCCAAGTCAGGTTGGAGTCTTCTAGAATGACTCTCCTGGGGTCTGTTTCCCGCTGTTAGGTCAGGCACTGGCGTCCATACTCAGCTGAGTTGGTAGCCAACGTATTTGCTGGGACCAGTCTGTGACATAGGTGGGTCCATGGTAGTGAGGGCCTCTGTTTTCATCTCTGGAGAGGACCCTGTCACTAGGTAAGAGGCCTAAGAGACTGCAGTACCATCTGGGCACATGTCAACCCATCAATAGTGAGGTGCTGGGCTGTGTCGGCGCTGTGTTTTCTGACCTTACTTCACGTGGGTGTGGGAGGCAGGGCATCCCTTCAGCCTGGCTCCTGGGGCTCTGTGTCCCTCAGGGCTTGGTGACCTTCGAAGACGTGGCTGTGTACTTCTCGCTGGAGGAGTGGGAGAGGCTGGATGTGGACCAGCGGGACCTCTACCGGGAAGTAATGCAGGAGAACTATGGGATCCTGGTCTCCTTGGGTAAGGAAGGACCCTGAACCAGTCAGCTGTGAGGGCTGAGGGCTTCGCTGGCAAAGGGAGCGCTTAAAAGCACCAGGGTTTCACAACAGTCAGCCCACTTCTGCCTCTGGCTGAGGGGGTCTGAACCAGGTGGACATATGCTATGAAGTTGTTGGTCCGCTCTGGCCTCTCTGCTGCACAGCCCCAGAAGCCTCCATTGAGGAGGAGAAAGGGTGGGGATCTCATCCTGCTGGGGAAGCTGTCTGGGGTGGGCATGGAAGGAGAGGTGGGTACGGAAGGCAGGGTATCCAGGGATGGACTGTAGGATGTCACAGAGCAGAGGACCTGTGTGTGGACAGGGAGAGCTTGGGGCCCACTGGGACAGCCACCCCTGCAGCTGCCATCTGTTCCTCTCCTGGTCAGGGTACCCAATCCCTAAGCCGGATCTGATCTTCCACCTTGAACAAGGAGAAGAACCTTGGGTCCCTGACAGCCCCCATCCCGAGGAGGGAGACATTGTCACTGGTGTCTACACGGGTGAGTCTTGCGTGTGTGGGGGGAGGGGGTGTTCCTGTAGCATGATTGCTCAGAGCTGTGGCCAGCTTCGGCCTTTACCAAGAGCAGCTCCCCGAAGACCTGCTGCCTCTGCCTCCCTCACGCTGCCAATGCTGATGTCTGGGGGGTGGAGTGGCTGGGAGGAGTCAGGCTGCTGCCCTTGCCCTCAGCTCCCGCGTCCCCGTGGTCCAGCTTCACAGAGGTCTAAGTGCTAATATGTGTCCTTAGAGAACCGTGGGAGTCCGTGAGGTTAGTTTTTCCCTTCATTTATAAATGAGAGGAGCTGGCAGGCTGGCCTAGAAACCTACCAGACTATTGGTGTGGCTTTCTACCCTCCAACTAACCAGTAATCTGGCTTCCCAACCCAGTTGCCATTTCTTCGTAAGGTGCCCCAGTCCCTTCACCACCTCTGGCGCTATCCAGCATGTTTTCTTTGTGACAGTCTCACTGGTGTTTTCCTCCTCTGGGTGCCTTGCCCTGCTGGCTCAGGCTCTGCCTGTCCAACTCCCAGAACCCACTTCCCGCATGGTACTCAACCTGCAGATCACAGCCTGAGTCTGCTGGGCTCCTCCTAGTCAGGTGGAATACGCTGTGGACTTTGGAGGGATGGAGGCCCATGCCTGGGAGGTGTCCCTTTTGGGGCAGGATGCCCTCAGCCCAAGGTGGGACAGCTGGAGTTATCACAGATGTATATCAAAATGAGAAGACAAGCTGGGCATGGTGGTACACTCCTTTGATCCCAGCACTCAGGAGGCGGAGGCAGAGGCAGGTGGATCTCTGTGAGTTCCAGGCCAGCCTGGTCTACAGAGCAAGTCAAGGACAGCCAAGGCTACACAGAGAAACCGTGAAGCTCACTGAGGGCAGCGAGGGATCTAGCCTTTCAGATGAGGCCCAGGAGGAGGTAGGACCCAAGTGGGAGGCGTGTTCCATTCGTGGACACATTGAGAAAAAGCGCGTAGAGAGAGCAGGACCCAAGCCAGTGCTGACCAGCCTCTTGAGTGTAGGTTCAAAATGTGCCCTCATGCTCCATTCTCTTGAAGGGTCGGGGCAGAGTCTGGTCCTTTTCAGTGCAGGTGACACCAGCTGACACGTGACACACAGCTGTGCACCTGGCTAGAGTTGGCAGCTTTGTGGGGACCAGTTAACAGGCCCTGTGTGGCAAGCCGTGGTGTTGCCACTGGTGGCCTGGCCCTGTCTGTAGAGCACCAGTTGGTACAGGGTCCAGGAGCATCTTTTAAAACAGAAGCTCTCAACCGTTCTGGCGCTCTGGCCACGTGTTGTGGTGATCCCCAGCCATAAAGTTATTGTCATTGCTGCTTCGTAACTGTAACTTTGCTGCTGTTGCGAATTTTAAGCATCTGTGGTTTACATCTATGAAAAGGTCATTTGATTCCCGATAGGTCATGACCCACAGGTTGAGAACCGATGTTTTAAAGCATTTTCTCTTAAGCCTGGTGTGGGCACATGCCTTTGAGCCCAGCACTCTGGAGACAAAGGCAGTTTGTTTGATGCCAGCCAGAGTTACCTAGTGACGCCACGTGTGAGGTCAGACGACAGCCTCGGGCATCACTTCTTAACTTCCACCTTGAGACAGGCAGTCTTGGCACCACCGCATAGGTCCTGCTAGGTGGCTTGTGGGATCAGCCTCGTGCTGCCGTGCATGGCTTTTCCCTGGCGCTGGGGATTTGAACTTGGGTTGTCATACTTGCATGGCGAACGCTTTGCTCACTGAGCCATTTCCCTGGCCTCCCCATGGCGTGTCTGGTGTGCCACATGACTGCCCAGGGGGGTACAGATGTGATGGCAGGGTCAGCGGCTGCCTCCCTTCTCTGCCTCCTGTTCATTCGTTCAGCCCAGCAGGACCAGCTGGGGACTGGGCGAGCCGAGTCTGACAGGACAGACACTATCTCTAGGCTGGCCATCTGGACTTCTAAGTTAGTCTTGTAAGACAAGACTCTAATTTTCTCTCCTCTGCCCCTTGTGTGTTGAGCTGTATGTGATGTGTGGACTCCTGGCCACGTTCCTTCACTCAGGTGTTGCCACCTTCAGAGTCCCACCTGCTCTTGAGGCTGTGCGCTGGGTATCCTAGTAACCCTGGCTACCACCTTCAAGCTCCCCTCCCGCAGCTCTCCCCTCCCGCTCAGCCTCAGCCTCCATCCCAGGGCCCTTGGTCCGTATGAACATCCATTGGCCTGGAGAGACCCCTGCCCGGGCTTAGCCCTGCTTCCTGCCTGCAGGATGCCCCGGGTGGCTGCTGCTCTGTCTGTGTGTGCCTGGCTGTTTGCTCTGACACGGATCCTTCCTGCCTCCTTTCCTAGCGCTTTATCTTCCAGCAGCTTCCAGAGCAGAACCTGGCCCTGTAGGGGCAGGCCCCGCTCGCTCTGCTGCAGGCTTCTGCCAGTTTTCCTATCTTGATATGCTGTGTGAGGTGTGCAGGTGTGCGCAGGGGCCAGAGGTCAACACAGGAGACGGTTTCTCGCTGGGATCCTGGGCTTGATGACTAGGCTGGCTGGTCAGTGTGTACCAGGATTCTGCCCATCTCTGCTTTCCCTATTTTGGGATCACAAGCACACACTTCCACTTTGGGCTTTTCATATGGTTCCTGGGAATTGAACTCGGGAGTTGGTACTTGTGTGGCAAGTGGTAGGACTAAGCCACGCCCCAGCCCCTTTTCTGAAAGTGATGGATAGAAAGGAAATTTCACACGCAGAATTTGGACCAGCTGTGTAGTTTAATGGATGGAGATGTAGTTTAAGAGGCAGCAAGAATCCAATAACTAGCAAGTAATCATGGAGTGGGGGCGGTCTGGAGCCCTCGTGTGATCCGTCAAAGTACACACTGCCAGCCTGGGACAGTTGGCATCCATCTGGGCAGCCCCAGCAACTCTCGGTTACCCAGCAATTCAGCTAAGGACCACAGGAAAGGGAGACGAGAGGTCGCTCAGCCAGGGGCAGTGCATGCGCACCCAAGGGCACCTTAGAGCAGCGGTTCTCAACTCTGTGGGTTGTGAGCTCTTTGCGGGTCACATAGCAGACCTCTGCATAGCACACAGAGGGCAGATGCCTGTGTAGGGGCTGGCTGCCTTCCCAGCTGTAGTTCAGACGCCTCCCTGGCAGCCCTCTGTGAGGTTGCCAACATCCGTAGACTTGGCACATCACTGTGGTATGGCCCCTCCCCTGGGGACTGTCCCCAGTAAGGGAAGGAACTCTCCCTGAGCGCATCTTCATTTGGAGGAGTTTGGGGTGGGGCAGGAAGGCAGGTACGGATCTTACTCCCTGGTTACCGGTAAAGACAGATGCTGAAGGACGGGCTTTACAGAGGCGGGTCCTCCATGCTGCGGACGTGGCTGGAACAGCCATGCTGGGTGCCTGGGACTGCAGGGCCCCACGCTTCACCCCAGTGCCCTTTCCTGCCCACAGGAACCCGCTTGCTAAACTACCGCAGTGCAGCCTCCCAACCCCCACAGCCTGGCAAGCCTTGGGGAACCCCGGCTTTCCCGTCCGAAGCTAGGGGAGGCCTTCGGCTTTCCTGCCTTGGAGCTGGCCAGTACTGGCTGCGGCATGCACCACCGCTAGCTTTACGGAAACGAGTCTTGTCTAAGGATTTCAGGGCCTGGCTACCACGGAGGCTGAGCTCCCGGCCAGTCTCTGTACTGTCTCCAACTGTCTTTTCACCTTCAGGAGCGTGGTTCTGGACCGATGACCTAGAGGACCACGAGGAGGAAGACGACGAGGACTTCCTTGCCGAGATGGCTGAGGAGGAGAACGAGCCCCCGGGGTTGTGGTCTGCCGCCTATGGCGTGGGGGACGTGCCCGGGACTTGGGGCCCCGACGACTCAGATGTGACGCAGACCCCAGAGGCTTGGGGCCTCCCGGCCAACCCGGCCAGCCTCGGACTCCTGGCGGAGGAGATGCAAGCGAAACACTTCCTGCCAGGGCGGGAGCGCGGGGACGGTTTCCTGGCGCCCTGGGCATTTCCTGCGGTGGCTGTCCCCCTCGGACGCCCCGAGACCACGTGCGACGTGTGTGGCAAAGTGTTCCCGCACCGCTCGCGCCTCGCCAAGCACCAGCGCTACCACGCGGCCGTCAAGCCCTTCGGCTGCGAGGAGTGCGGCAAGGGCTTCGTGTACCGCTCGCACCTGGCCATCCACCGACGCACGCACACCGGCGAGAAGCCCTTCCCGTGCCCGGACTGCGGCAAGCGCTTCGTCTACAAGTCGCACCTGGTCACGCACCGGCGCATCCACACGGGCGAGCGGCCCTACCGCTGCGCCTTCTGCGGCGCGGGCTTCGGCCGGCGCTCCTACCTGGTGACGCACCAGCGCACGCACACGGGCGAGCGGCCCTACCCGTGCGCGCACTGCGGCCGCAGCTTCAGCCAGAGCTCGGCGCTCGCCCGCCACCAGGCCGTGCACGCCGCCGCGCGCCCGCACGGCTGCCCGGACTGCGGCCAGGCCTTCCGCCTGCGCGCCGACTTCCAGCGGCACCGGCGCGGCGGCAGCTGCGCGGAGGCCGGCGGGGGCGCGCCCTCCGAGGCGCCCCGGGAGCCGGAGGCCGGGCCCGCGGAGGCCGGAGAGCCCGAGGTCGGCGAGCCCGACGGACGCCCCGAGGCCGAAGCCGGAGAGCACGAGGAGGAGGTGCTGGCGGCGGCGACTGTCCCTGACAGCGAGAGGGAGCCAGAGGCGGATGGGCGGCCCCGGGAGCTGGGCAACGGCCTGGCGGAGGGCGGGGGCCCGTCCCCGCACCCGCTCGGCTTCCCTTTCCCCGTGCACCCCAAGTCCTGGCTGCATCCGGACGCCTTCTCCATCCTGGGCTTCTCCGAGTTCTCCGGACGGCTGCAGGCCGACGGGCGCCTCCTGGCGCGCGCCCTGGGCGCTCCGCTGTCCCTGGAGGGCGCGGGCCCGGGGGGCGGGCCGGACGGCGGCCTGCGGGCCTTGGCGCCCGCCGCCGGCTCGCTGCTGGCGGGGCCCGCGCCCGGCGCGCTGGCGGAGGAGGAGAGCCCGTGGATCTGCTCCGACTGCGGCAAGACGTTCGGGCGGCGCGCGGCGCTCGCCAAGCACCAGCGCTACCACGCGGGCGAGCGGCCGCACCGCTGCGCCGACTGCGGCAAAAGCTTCGTGTACGGCTCGCACCTGGCGCGCCACCGGCGCACGCACACGGGCGAGCGGCCCTTCCCGTGCCCGGAGTGCGGCGCCCGCTTCGCCCGCGGCTCGCACCTGGCGGCGCACGTGCGCGGCCACACGGGCGAGAAGCCGTTCGTGTGCGGCGTGTGCGGAGCGGGCTTCAGCCGGCGCGCACACCTCACGGCGCACGGGCGCGCGCACACGGGCGAGCGGCCCTACGCGTGCGGCGAGTGCGGCCGGCGCTTCGGCCAGAGCGCGGCGCTCACGCGGCACCAGTGGGCGCACGCCGAGGAGAAGCCGCACCGCTGCCCGGACTGCGGCAAGGGCTTCGGCCACAGCTCGGACTTTAAGCGCCACCGGCGCACGCACACGGGCGAGAAGCCTTTCCGCTGCGCCGACTGCGGCCGCGGCTTCGCGCAGCGCTCCAACCTGGCCAAGCACCGGCGCGGCCACACGGGCGAGCGGCCCTTCCCCTGCCCCGAGTGCGGCAAGCGCTTCTCGCAGCGCTCGGTGCTCGTCACGCACCAGCGCACGCACACGGGCGAGCGGCCCTACGCCTGCGCCAGCTGCGGCCGCCGCTTCTCGCAGAGCTCGCACCTGCTCACGCATATGA